GCTTTTAACTTTCGCTTTTTAGGATTTTGTTCTTTTAGAACTCGGCATGTACAAGTTGCCTGTTGTGGAAAATATCGAGCAGAAAGAAGTGGTTGTGTTTTGCGATAATGGAAAGAAACATTCCGCTGGTAAAAATAAAGTTAACGAAGAAAATAAGGAGCAAGGGCAAGCCGAGAACTACGATGAAACTGCGAAAAATGATGATGGTGATGATGATATCGATGAAATTGCGATGGATGACCATGAACAGGATGATAAGTCAAATGAAGATGAAGACAAGGAAAATGTGCGTTTGCATTTGTGCACACAGCCAGCTGATACAGATGATATATCAAATACGGTAAATCCCCCAAAATATTCTCCCTGGCTTGATTTCGCGTAGAAAATCCGATCCCTTGACAGTTTTTTGATCCCTTTCCATGGTAAATCGGCGTTGACAAGTGCAGGGCTTCGAACGAACATCATCGTACCTTTTAAGCGGTTCTGGGAAAAAGGAGTCATCTTGCTAGTAAGCGAATACTGCTGGCGCATGCAACCATCGTTGCTCTTGAGATGCTTTCGTCTTTCAAAATATATGAAGTATGTTTCGTTATAAAAGGATTTCAAAAATGAGAATACTTTAAAGAGCTATCTTCTGTTCTGTGACAGTGTGCTGGAAAACTGGTTTTCAGGATCACATCAAAGCAGAGAAGATTTCTCGAACGGAAGCGAGTAAGCGAATGTTAAAGAAAAGGGATGTAGACTGTCAGCAGAAATTCGTCGACTTATGCCATATAACGACATGCTTTACACCACTCACATTCAATGCAGTTATTTGTATGATTAAAGTATGTTTTTTCCCGCAAAATTTTTAATACGTTGAGGGAAACATTTCGGGACCGTTCATGATAGCTTTGAAGACATGGTTTTCGCCATCCTTCGGGTTCAGTACCATTTGTGAAGGAACAAAATAGACAGTCGTGTCCGGTAAAGGCATAAGCATTCAGTTTTCCTTCTCTCAGAAAAAGTTTCTTTTTTCAGTTGCTACCAAAGAAACGGAAAAAGACGACGTTCTTATTGGAAAACTTGCACGAATTACTGCAGCAAATATTACATAAAAAGGCTAAAACAACTGCACCGACAGTAAGATTTTTGCTAGTAATGATGATTGTTTTTAAAACCTACTACTGCGGACTCCTTTTGTGCTCGGTTAATTTTTTTTTTTTTTGACAAATTAGTGGAAATTAGCGAAATTAAACTACGTTTAATTTGCTCTCGAAATAGTCCCCAACAAAAAATATTGGTTTTTGCACCGGAGTTCCGAATGCTACTCTACGAACGCCTTTGATAGAATGACAAGCGTCACTCTTTCTATTTTCTAGCTTCTGGTTTAAATTCGCTGGATTTTTTTCAACTGGCACAATTTTGGCTGTAATTTGCCTTGACATGTGCTCGGTATTAAATTGCCCTCAATTTTTCTCTAATGAGTGGGCGATTGACAAAGCTGCTTGTCTCGTAGCGGTTTGGATGCTAATTTCTTGGGAGGAGGAAGTAAGGATAGGATTTTACACCTTCATATTTGACTTAAAAACTATGATTCCTAAGCAGCACTAACTTTAATGCATCCATTTCGGGATATACAACTTTTCTCTGCCATATTTGCGCTGAAAGAGGCGGAGAAAAATTTTTTAGCGGAAGCCGTCTTTTTTATAGCAATGCAAAAACGCATATTGTTGAGAGGTGTCTGTGTGTGTGTGTCTGTCTGTCTCTGTGTGCCTCATTTGTGTCTGTATGTTTGTTTGTGTGTGTGTGTGTGTGTGTGTGTGTGTGTGTCTCATTTTGAGACCTACAAAAGCTACAAAGTTAAAACTTTGGCAACTTAATCTACACATATGTACAGGCTCCTATCCCAAAATGAACCGTCTTGCCCGTATGGTCCCCGCGTACCGTCCCGTGAAATGTTTTAGCGGGCAAGCTGCTAACTCGAGAATCAGAGAAGCTAAAAAGCTGAAATTTTAAGGGATTTTTTACTGTCTGCGTGCAGTCTAGTGACTTCAAACCCAAACTCCAAGTGTGCGGAATTCCCACGTATGGACTCATAAATTATTGGCGAGTCGGCACCCAGAAGAGCTTGAAAGCTGAAATTTTGAGGGGATTTTTTTTGACAGTTGTAGTGGCCAGTCTCAATTCTTTTAGCTAGAAACATCTATCAAAAAAAAACAATCCGCGGGAATCTATGCAAAAAACGCATCTTCGTGCCGAAATTCGGTACACTAGCCAATTAATTTCATTTAGGCTGTCCGAGACAGTGTGCTGGAAGAAAATGTTTTGGAGAAAGATGATCCGAGAGTCGTTTGGCATTCTCTGCATTCAATAATCCCGATTCTTTTCTCAATTTTGCACGGCGCGGTCGAATATTTCAAGAACATTCTAAACACATCCATTGTATTCGATAGTTTCAAACGGGCATATCACACTGACATGATTTCTCTTATGCGTTCTACATTAGTCGTTTTCTGTGATATTTTTTCCTGGTAATTTTTCAAGGTTTTGCTGCTTTTTGCCAACGCTTATAGTACTTTTCGTAGTTTCGTTTGAAAATTGTTAGGGTTTCTCTGTTATCCTTCTTAGCATCTCGTAGAGGAGCCTGTACTCCCTATCCTTTTAAACGCGGTTACCATGTTTTGTTTGGTACAAAGAAGTACTAAAGTTACTTGGCTTCAACAGCTTCTAGATTTTGATGACATTTATTACAAAAGGGACTTTGCATTTATTGAGTTTGTAACGAGATGACTTCAGGCTATATCAGCATTCTTTGCTGTGATCTCCCGGTTTTGACGTTTATTGACCTACAAGAAAAGATTGGAGCTGAGCTGCCCTGGCTATTCGTGGCTAAGGACTTTTTAGTAAATCCTCTTCTTACTGTTGAAATCGATTCTAATTTTGAATATAAGGAAGCGATAAACAAAATGTGCGATAGCACATGGCTCCTGGGCACCGGAGCCGCTTGTAACAAACCTTCGGATTCTGTGAAGATGCATTCTATTTCACTTCGTGGCACACTGCAAGCCCCAGCGCCTCTCGGAAAATTTTCACAGAAAACAGCGAATCTCTAGCCTTTAGAATTTCTTGATTCCTGCTCAGAGAGTCTGCTGAATTTTTTTGACCAATCTGCACTTCTAATTTTGACACCTCATTGCAGCAGGCTAATTTCATTTCATAATACAGCTCCCAATTGCCTAAAAACTTTTCAGTTCTTTCATTTCTTCTATAGTTAAAAGAATGAAATTCGTTACAGAATTACTAAGCTTTGGTTTATTATTATTACGGCCTTTCAAATTTGAGTGCTATGTTAGCATTTTTGTGCACACACAATTTTTTAGCAACGATATAAAAGCAGCATCTGAATGCTACTCAGAAGAAGAGCAAAGACTACACCGTTTAAGACTCGAACGTCGTAAACTGGTTATGGAAAATTTGGAAAAAGCGATGATTGACGCGAAAGCTGTAGAGGATACGCGAGGTGGTGAGGATACTGAGGTTCCTCTTTTCTCATTTAGA